ATAATGTTATTTAGGAGGGAAACTAGTTGGTTTGTCCTTTAGTTCTGATCATTTGTCTAAGTTCTTCCATCCCTGAATGCAGAGGATCTTCTTGCTCAAGTTCTTGTGTGATGAGTTGCTTGGCACAGCTCTGATCCGTCAACATCTGGAGCAGTGTATGGAAACATCAGCAGAGTTACAACAGAAACTCCGATCATTTGTGGCTGAATGGAAAAATCTGAAGTCCAAGGAAGAATTCATGGCTCTAAGAGCTGTGAAAAAGGATTCTTGTTTCATTGGTGAAAGATATGTGAAGGAAGGTGTAACTTCTGCACTTATGACTTCATGTAGTCATGTGGTACAGCCAGTTAGTTCAAGTGATCGACCTACACTTTGTAGTCCTTTATCAAATGAAGTATTGACAATGAAGGGCTGCGGAGAACGAACTGGGATAAATGGCTGTAGTGAGACCTCTATGGATTCTCGAATCTTTCATGGTGGCAATGAACAAGCTGTGTGTAGCCAAGGTAAAGAACGGCAAGTGTTGATGGATGGTAAGAATAGAAGCTATCAAGAGAATGGTAATTTTTCTGCACGCGATCAGTCCCAATCAGAAAATCATTTGGCACAGGTTGGTGATGCTATCATTAAAAGTGAATCCTCGAATTCACATGGACACTTGACTACTGATAATATGAATGAGCCACAAAACTATGATACCGAGCTAAGTTCCCTCAAGAATGACATTCTTATGTTGAAGAACTCCATTATGAGCATAGAATTGCAGCTGTTTAGGTTGTCTACCCGGAGAGAGTATTTGGGAAGTGACTCTTTGGGTCGCTTGTACTGGGCTTCAGCAGTGCCAGGAAAGAATCCGTGTGTTGTTGTAGATGGAACCTTGACACTGCAGCAAAGAGAAATATCAGGTTATAGAGACCCAGTAAGCAGCAAGTTGGGGACCATTAACTCTCACTTACCTTCTGGAAGACTTAAGGACAATGCTGAGGTGCATCCCTACTGGATTGCGTATGAATCTGATTCAGAAATTAAAGAACTCATTGGTTGCTTGGATAATGACCTAAAACAGAGAGAACTGAAAGAGTCTCTTCTGCAACTGCTAAAGCTGAGATCTCTTGAAAATCGCCAAAATTGTTATTCAGTTGAGGCTGAGCACCAACCAGCACCACCAGTGGATCTAAACAAGGAGAAAGATTTATCTAGAGATTTTGTCACTACAAAAGCTGCTATGTTTATGGAGAAGAAATATGGCAAGTTCGCTCAGTTAGAGTCTGGTCACGTGTCAAATAAGTTGTTGGAAAAGAAAAGAATGACTGATGGAGATAAGATGTACAGGTGCGAGTGTTTGGAGCCAGTTTGGCAGTCTAGACTCCATTGTTTCACTTGCCACCGAACTTTCATTGATGATGCTGAATTGAAGGGCCATGGTGATGGCACTTGCTGTCAAACTCAGAAGAAGTGTGAAGAGAGTAATCATTCTATTAAGCTCATGGGCGAGATGGCTTCAGAGGCAGTTAACAATAACTGCACGGGCAAAATTGCTGAATCTTCTAAAAGCATATCTGATCCCAAATCTAGACTGGATAAATTTCAAAGTGAAGTGATACCATGTCCCTACAACTTTGAAGATATCAGCTCTAGATTTGTTACAAAAGATTCTCTCATGGAGTTGGTGCAGAGTATAGGTCTGCTTAGTTCGAATGGTGTACCGTCTTTTGTTACGTCTGTTTCTCCTTATGTCAGTGATTCCACTGTATTGTTGATTTCTGCAATGAAAGATGGAAGTGGAGGTGGTAAGTCGAATCTTGATAGGAGCCAGGTTGATCAACCAGTTTCTGATAAAGTTTCTGGGAAAGCAGTTGCTGATGAAACAAATGAGCTTGCAAGGACTAAAAAGTCTTTTTCTGGAGGTCCAGAAAGGCGGGATCTTAAGTCTCACTTTGATAGACGGAGTTCTGAAACCAGGCATTTGAATCATTGTATAATTCCTTCTTCTGCTCAAAGGCCATTACTAGACAAAATTTCTGCACCTATTATGAGGCAGCTGAAGATAAATTTGCTAGACATGGAGGCTGCGCTACCTGGAGAAGCCTTGAGGGCTTCAAAGTCAGGAATAGAAAGAAGTTGGGCCTGGCGTGCCTTTGTTAAATCGTCCAATTCAATTTATGAGGTTGGTCTTCCGACATTGTTTCCATTTGGGTGTTGACATTCATTAATTACTGCATTTGACTTTCCCTTAAAAAGTGATACCTTTGACTTTTCTATTGCACCTATATGTGCTGTTAACGACGAAAACCAAACCCGAATGTTCACAGAATTGGTGATTTCTTCCTGTTTCTAAAGTTCGTCATAAGCCCTAAAAAATCTCCCTTTTTATTTTTCAGATGATCCAAGCGACAGTAGTATTGGAGGACATGATTAAAAGAGATTACTTACGTAATGAGTGGTGGTATTGGTCGTCTCTCTCTGCTGCTGCCAAAACTTCCACCATTTCTTCCCTGGCTCTGCGGATATTTTCCCTTGATTCTGCCATTTTTTATGAGAAAGTTCTGTCCAATTCGGATTCTCCAGAGAAGTTGAAGCCCATCAGTATATCCGAAGAGAAAACAGTGCATCTGGATTCACCTGACAAAAGCAAGACAGGGAGGAAGTCTAATAACAAGAAAAGGAAGGAACCAGAAGGTTAATGGATGGTTGTCATTTCTAAATAATGAGAACCTAGGTGTTAGACTCAACCTTAGGGGACAATCAGAATGAAGCACGAGGGATTTTATCGGGTGCGTACCTGTTCATCTCAACGGCTCAACTTCAAAGCATTTTGATGGAGCTGCTGCCTTGGGTGCTTCACATTAGTGTATATAAAAATATGCTGACACGCTAACTCAAATGATGGATTGACAAGTCAACAAAATGATCTGGTTCATGCAATTCAGAGTAGTCTTGTACAAAAATGAGCAGGACCAGCGCCGTGGTGATTGCTGCTGCAGAAAATAATTTTGGTGCGTGAGAAAACGAGATGAGTTTGGTAGATGGAAGAAAATCCATGTAATGGGGAAATCATGTCGAAAAAGGTAAAGAAAATTACTAGAAATATTTGATTCTTTGTACCTTCCTTCCATTTTTTTAGTTGTATCGAGTGATAGTTGCTGATCCTTGCTTTCCCTACCTGATGCTATATTTGCTTCTGCCCTTACAAGTTCTCTGGTGGCTTGCTGATCAAAGAAGTCTAATTTACTTGCACTACTTTCCAACAGATATGTCATTCACTGAGGCCTGGAGTATGATACGCTGTAGGGACTGCTACTTATCTCCCGGAATCCTCATCTGGAGGTGCCGACGAACAATTCTAGAAGTTGCTGGAGCCAGGTTTTCAAACCTCCTCACAACAGGTACTTTTTCCTCACGTTTCGAAGTTTCTGTGCGTCAGGCATCCTCGTTCCTTCCCTGCGTCCCCTCTACTTTCCCTTTGAACGAAGTGTGGCTATTTTGGGGCAAATACTGGTTAGTGTTTACACTGAGGTTAAGTCTCTTTAAGGTGACTGGTCTGTAGTTGTTTAGCGAGCCAGTTTTGTTATAGTGAGCTTTTCGGCACTTGGGGTTCCGTTGCTCATTGTGTAATCTATGTAACTCTGGGATTTGTAGTCTGCCGATTATTACCGAAGGAAAGAATGAACTGGAAGCTGGGAGACGGATTTAGTTAGTGACTTAGAGTTTAGGGTTGGACTTCTTCATGGAAGTCATGTACTATACTTGTCTGATTTGAATCAATGTCAATCTAATAGCTTCGTCCCAATCGAATCTTTTCTACGTGCATCTGATTGTGTTTCCTTTTCTTCCTTTCGACTTTGAAACTAGACATTATTACAGTATGATTCGGTTTCCCCCCTCAATTTGAAACAAAGAAATGAAAGAATAGGATGAAATTGAGGCTTGTGGTGGTTGAAGTGGCAGTGGTGCCTTGTTAGCTGTGTCATAAGCAATTGGTTGCCTCAAAATCAGCTCATTTGTTAAACAGTTTTCCCAGCTCCAGATGTGACCTTTTTTATTATCATAGAAGATGTGAATATTTTGTCTACGAGTGAATTTGATAATGCTTTTAATTATATGTACATTATTTGTGTTAAATATTTTGAGCTTGAAGTTGAAATGTCTCTGTGAGACTTCTAATCTAACTTGCCAAGCTCAGATTAGCTGACTTCATCGACATTTTCTTCTGTATTATACTTTCCCGGTCGGCAATATTTAAATGACTTCATCTAAGCTTGCAAGTTATGTTTAGCTTTAGGTAAGGTACCCAGTTTAGGGGTGTCCGTTGGGGTCGGGTTAGGGTAACTGAACCAAAACCCAAAACCTATAAGAAGGTTTTCTTTTTCGGTTAACCGAAAAATGAAAATTATCTTATCGGTTTCAGGTTCGGTTAAAGCAAAATCGAAACCCGAAACAAACTGAAACTGGAAAACCGATAATGGCTCTCACCGGTACGATTTTGGTTAAAATCGAAAATCCGAACCAGAATTGACACCCCTTACCCATCGCTTCCAGTCTGACTTGTATTTAGCAAGTAGGACCAGTAGGCATGAATTGTGACCTAGTCTTTTTTTTTTTTTTTTTTTTTTTTGACAATGTGACCTAGTCGAAGATTGAGAAGCCTTGCAGTTCTACACTAGGGTTATCGTCCTCATAAACCGAAGTATTTACTATATAGCTTAAGCATTAATACCAAAGTTGCTGCACAGAAGTAGTAGCATAATAATCCAGATGACTAAATACAACTGTTTAAACCGTTTTATTCATCGTCCTTTAGTACCCCCTAGAAGTCTTTCTTGAGGAGATCAGTTATTTCCAGACTCAGAAACATATGCCCTTTTGTGTCTCTCTCCTCATCTCCATAACGTTACAACACAAACTACGCCAGATATTATAGGCACAAATACACTGTAATACATATGCGTCATAGGCAAGGCACAACACTTCTCAACCAAGATGGGTAGGGTTGCATCTGTTTAGGACCACACCCACCATCCCAAAGCCTCTCCTTCCTCCTCATGCTGCTCGGCGAAAACGTGGGTGTAGTAACCTTGTCCGTTGTCGCTCCCATCATCCTCCTCCGACTGCATGGTTTCCCCTGGAACAATGGCAGCCGTGGCAGGGTAGTCAGACTCGGTCGGGAAATAGGAATCTCCACTGTCCACAAGCTGGGGACTGTCGTCATCGACCACAGCGCTCCCAACACTCCCTGTGCTCAGCCGATCCTCCACCGCCTTCACATTGACCGATTGGCTGGCTGCTTCCGCTGGAGGCGCGAGGTTCTCCCCGGAGATTGGCACCACTTCAGTCGTCGTCTCTTTCGTGTCCACTTTCTCAGTCAAAGAAACCACCTGCAAAGTGACAAGCCAATATCTTTACTAGGTTAGGGCATAATCTGGGTAGGCTCTCACCATGGCCATGGTATATTCCTACTTTTAGTGCCCTTCTTTTCTTACTAGGGAAGAAATTAGGAGCAAAAGGGGTAGCCTTTTTTTGGACAAATTTTTAAAACCAAAAAGGTGGTGGAGAAGTAGTTGTGGGGTTTGCAGAAGCAGATGCCACATGTGTGTATAGTTTTTTCAATAGTGATACAGAAGTGTGGAATCTGATAGGGATTATATAGGAGAGACCCACTACTCTATATAGAATCCCCACAGGTCCAAATCCACCCCCCAAAGCTACATACATGTCCATCATAAAAAAAAAGGAATATGGATGGGAGCAAAAAACAAATACAGTTCCCTAAAGCAATCGATCACATCATCTGGGAGAGAGCAAGATCAGCTGGCAGGAAGGAACCCATGACTCTCATAATCTTCTCTTTAAGCTTTTCCTACGACTAACTCTTTAGTGGAGAGTGGAGAATTATACTGCTACCACCACCGTTTCTTTTTAACCAAAAGGAAATAGAGAAAAGCTAGTTGCTTTGCTTTGCTTTGCTCTGATAGATTAGTCCATCTTAGCGTAGGATTGGATGCCAGTTGTGAAAAACAAAGATTGAATGATGCACTTTCCTCACTAAAGAAAAGCGAGCAGAAACTTAGGAAAGTCCAGATTTGTGGTGGCTTTTTAGTTTTTACCTCAGATTTGAGCTTCTCGTTCTCCTTGACGACAGAGTCGTAGTTGGAGCGAAGGGAATCGTAGGAAGCCTTGAGGACGTCGTAGTCCCTCTCCAGCTGCTTTGTCTTCCAACGGGCTCTTCGGTTCTGGAACCACACGGCCACCTGCCTGGGCTGCAGCCCTAGCTTCTTGGCCAGCTCTGTCTTCCTCTCCGGCTCCAGCTTGTTCTCTGTCTCAAAGCTCTTCTCCAGTAGATGTACCTTCATTGCACACCAAAGCAAACAAATCCTTGCTCAACATGAAGTAGCGTATAAATAGGGGAAAACATCTAGCATTTCTACAATTAGGAGACACATTTCAGTTCAGAAGAGCTCAACCAGATGAAGAAAGTCTGTTTTTTGATCGATTCAACCAACCCCCAACTCTCAGGCAGTTCTTCTAGGAAACTAAAAACCACCACAGAGTAGCCAGTAAAAGGCAAATTCGGATGCCATGGCTCTCAAATTCCTCCTCTTGTGACAGTATATCAGTCTGTGGCTGAGTAATGGCAAAGAGGAATTTGATACTTGATAAGGGTTGAGAACTTGGGCATATGCCAATTCTTCACATGAGGAATATATAGCCTTTTGGAGCATAAAGAAGCAGATATTCAAATAGTAAACCCCACTAGTCGTGTGAATAGGTGATTGGTATGAGTTACCTGCTCTGCTGAGAGGCGGCGTTTCTTCTCCGGCGACTGTTCGTCGTAGTATTCCTCGTCATAGAAGTCCCCCGGCGAGCTAAAGAATGGTCTCCTCTTTGAGGTGTCCTCCATGCTCAACATGGTTCTTTGGCCTTTTATCACAAGAACAATAAATCTCCGTTAAGAAATAGCACTGTGGATTATTTGCATGAATCGGTTCGTGTTACTTGAGATCCAAGTTTCAATTTCACATAACAAGTCATAATCTCTAAGTCATCAACAAAAAAGAGTGTTTCAAGGAGAAAGTTCAATAAATTGGAAGCAAAAGTCAACTCTAGTTAATTGCAACAGCCAGATCTTGACGACTGTACTCTACTGAAAATTACTTGCAGAAACGGGGAAATGAGAAATTAGAAAGCGATGACTCCGTTCCATTTACCTCGGAAAACAGAGTCGCCGCCGCTTCCGAGGAACAGCATGTTTCCATGGCAAGCGGAAGGATCGAAGAAGAGATGGCCCGATTGATGATCCATGCTTCTTCTGCAACTTTGCTGCTACGTCCAATTTCTCTTGTATTAATTAGTAGTAACCAGTAGTATATACGATCGGCTTTTTTCCCTCCGTTAAGACCTACCGGCGCTGGGGGAATTTCGGTATATATTTATGTAAAGGGTGGAATGAAATTCAAGGAAGGGGCGATGGATTAGAAGAGCCTGAGCTTGTGGCGGAAGAAGCTGGTACTCCAGAGTAGCCTCGCCGGTGTCTCCAGTGGACAGATGCAGAACCCCATCGCTTCCCACCGCCGGTAACCCCCCAGTACGGCGACTCTGACTAGCCCCAAAGAGAAAGGGGGGGGAAACAAAGGAAAAAGAGCACAAAGGGAGAATGGAGAAATGAACCAAACAGAGTAAGAGAGAGCTGGTCAACACTCACGAAGCCACCAAACCACCATGGCTATCAGAATTGGAAGAGGGATAGAAAGTCAACGACGAGATTAAGCACGTCTACCGGAGAATAAGCAAATTCCGGCGACGGTGGCGGTGGAAGGAAATTTACAATGTTCTCTCTCTCTCTGTTCTTTGGCGTGGCGATTTTAGTAACTAGAGTAAGGTTCGGAGCGATGAATCGTCTACGGATTATATATTGGCCGGACTAGAGACGAAATGACGTGAGTAACCTTCGCGGATGGCGTTTGTTCCGCTAAGATTGTGGGGGTGTTTAGGGGATTTCCGTAGGTGGTGGAGAGTTGAGCTATGAGGTTGGCTAACGTGAGCGGCGGGTAAATGTGGGCATGGAGAGATCGGAGCCGTTGGATTTGGAGGGAAGAGATAGGATTGGTTGGATTGGAGGCGGGTTGCCAGAGTGTTAAATTAGGTGCCATGCTTTCCCGGTTGGGGTATTGTCGGATCCTAATCGGGTCAATTTTTCTTCTTCTATTTTTAACAAACCCTTCTATGGCGAAAAAAAACCCTTGATAAAAGTTATAAACTCACTCCCCTCTTTTAATACAACAAATTTGCCCCAACTCTTTGTTTTCTACGGTGTGGAATAGGATAGATCATTTTGCGTATGGGTGGTCATCCGGTTTGATAAATTCGATTCAAGCGGAATTGAATCAATCTGATCTGAACCGAAATCGAAATATTGCTATTCGGTTCGGAATTCGGAAGGAAAATCTAGATAGTTCGGAATTCAACAGAATAGAGTTTTTGAATTCCTGACCGAAAAATTGAAATATATATGTAAGCCCAAAACTATCCCAGTATCCCTATTCCCCCAACTCTCTGAGTCCAAATGAAACCCCTAAGAGCCTAACTGTCTAAGCACAAACGAAACCTAACTCACTTAGTCCAATCAAAACCCTAACTCCTACAGCTCACAACCTTCTCCGACTGCCTCCCCTCCTAACTCACATCGCATCGTTGCGGCTGCATCGACGACTTTGCTTCATCGAATCCAGTGGCGACCTGAGCGGCCACCTCCGACCTGCCTCCCCTTCAATTGCTTTGTCGACAACCGCATGCAGGCGTTGCCACCTACTGGAATAAACGAACGACGATGGCAGGGGAAGATCGGCGTTGCATGCCACGGAACTCGTGGAAGCCTTGAGGGTTCTAGATCTAATAAGAGACTGAAGCTCCGACCAGGTGATTACCTATTATGGTTCTTGACTCTCTCGATCTTCTAGATCTGATTCACGTCGAGCTTGTCATTGAAGTTAGAGGAGATGACAGTGGATATTGGGAATCGGGAGATGAGATGATGATTGTTGGTGCAGTTGGGGGAGTCTAGGAGAGAGGGAGAGAAGACGATGGTCGAGTTGAGAGGGAGATGTGACGATGGTAGAGTAAGAGTTAGGGGAGTCGGAGATCGAGGGAGAGAGCAGAGAGGCCAGAGCCGGGGAGAGGGATTGGTGGCGGCTGTGACCCTAACCCAAAAAACTTAAGGAAAGGAGGTGAAATGAAGAAAACGAGGAGGCGTTGGTGGTAGGTGATGATATTTCGGGTTGGAGTCTTGAAACCGAACCGAACTGAAATATAACTCAGTTCGGCCAAATCAAATCGAATTATATTTCGGTTCGAACTCGGTTGCCCTTTAGAGGAAGTTGGAAACCCGATATGTACCATTTTAGTTCTGTTTGAACCAAACAGATGCCCGCCCCTATTTTTAGGCATGAGATATTTGCATTTCAAATGCATTTGAAATAGCCTATATTCAAATGTTAAGTTGTTTTTATTATGTCTTTTTTAAAGAATTTCGTTAAATCGATAACGTGAATGGTATAGGATTAAACTAAATTTATGAGACCATACCTTAGGTGATATTAATTGCCTCTTAACAAGCATTGTAACTTCATAAATTGAGACAATTGTGCACGATACGCAGTTGATATCAAATCGAGGGTAATTCAATGACACTAGGTTAGCAGGACTTCAGTATTATGTGATTCGTTGGCCAATTGAGTCTCCTCTTCGAACCACTTAGAGAGCTACAAAATGATAAAGTAATTGAATTTTTATGAGCAGATCATAAATTCAATTTATGTCAGTGCATCTATACATTTCAACATTCTATCCATATATCAATTAAAATTTTATTGATTGAGAAAACACAAGAAGATGAAGAATATGAGAAGATAGGGGCATCCAATGGAAGTTGGAGTTGTGTTGGCAATCCATGAATCACAATTCACATGGTGGGGTTTGAAATATTTTGGAGTTGGTTGTCCCCAAAGTTTTTTATTTACTTTTGTTTTGGAATGATAGTGGTAAAGAAAAGAAAGGGAATATTGTGGGTGAGCTACTATCTATCTGTACTGTTGTTAATATAATGTGATGCAATCGTCCCTCCCCAGATTATAGATGGTGATGAGTTGCAGTTGAAAGTTTTGTTTGTGGGAATTATGTAGAAAATAGTACCTTCCACTTAATTACAAGCACTACTCAGTCCCTTTTCTTCATTCATCACTAATTCACTATGTAACTTTTCTTCTTTCTCGGTGCTTCAACACTACAATAATGGTGGAGAAAACATCAATGAATAGTTGAATCTATTATGTACAGTCTAGACAAGGTTCAAGTATACTAAGGAGTGAACATGTCTACAACAAACACTTGTTATGATAAACACCTATTGGACATTTGGGCAAAACGCTAATTCACATCAATGGACCAACGTGAGGGTTCAACTCGTCTAGTTCTGTATAAAGATGCTCGAACTTTCTAGTATGAGTAATGTACGTAAATCCGAAATCTCTCAACACTCTCTACACATAAGTAATTTTTCTATACTTTATCTCCCTATAATCCTTTCTAGGTTTGCTTACATAAGCTCCAATTTTACTTCCAACTTGGACGTCGAAGTTTAGATCATCAAGATAGCTCCTATCTCTCCACATGTTCCTTTTATACCTGAGAAGATCAATAGAAGGATTCAAATTAGAGACCTAACATTTCTTGTTATTGACAAAACCCAATAATATTGTTCGAACCACTATGGTAGTAAGTTGTAATGGAAGAAATAATCACTTGGACTCCATAGGCAATCAGGATTACTTAACTATCCATTGAATGAGTCAAGAATTTTTGTAAACTAATAGAAATCATGGAACCCCAAGTCAACTCATATATGTTAGCTTCTGGAGCATCCATGTACCTTAATTCTTTTCGATTGAACATCCATGTTAGGGAACTACGGTAGATATATATACATTCACCAATGTTGATGTTGGGATTGAAGATATCACAGAATCAGACCTATTCACAGTCAAGCGGAGTCGTGCTCGTGTCCTTTCATCTTTTAAAATATGGTTGAAAATATGTGTGAAACTTGTAATATATATGATTTGAATTCCTTGAATTTATGTTTTTGCTTTCTTGAATATTTGAATCCTTCACTAATAGCTATTGTTGCTAATCTCTTTGAATCGAGATGAATTGATGCAGTTAGGTAATTTGAAAATAATTTTATTTTGTCAACAATGAGAGTTTGAGAGAGAATCTAAGAATAGTTGATGAAACGTTATTATTTCTGCATATAACATTAAATAGAAACTCAAATCACTAAACATCCAATCTACAAAACAAACAATAACAGATACTTTGGATTTAAATCAAACGCTTGATATCGGAATGACCTTGCTATATCTCATTGTCAGCCAAAATAAGGTCAGCCTTACAAGAAAACGTTCATCATTTAAGCTCATAATTAATGTGGCAATGGATATTGAGATATATTAGTTTAGGGTAGCATCTGTTGTCAATCTAATGGAAATGAAAGATTCAAAGAATGTAACCCTACAGATATAAAACATATATATTGATTAGTACATAGATAGACATGTCCATGTTTACAAGTTTTAGAGTGAAATTAAATAAAATAATAAACCTAAAGAATACTAGTTGATTAATTATTTCCCCCCATAATCCCAGTTATCATTCATAAGTAACCAATCAGATTATGCCACTGAATGAAGCAAGTATATTGGGTCGAGAAAGGACATGATATTAATTAAAATTTGGGGGAAAATATGTTATTTTATTTAGGAGCTCAGCTAGGTGTGCTGTATGCCTGTATGTGGTGGCTTCTAATGTGCCCTTGTCTCTTGCTTTAGAAAATTGCTCAAACTGCAGAACCACGTCGTATTGGGTCCCAGAGAATCCAACTCTTTTTTCCCTCTTATTAGTTATTATGATAGTGGCAAGAAAATAAAATAATTAGAATCTCACTAAATAAAATTATTATCTAAAGTTATAAAGAAAAATAGGAAATGATTTAGTTTTAGTCAACTAAATTTTGAAAATGCAAATGGTTGCTTCTCTCATCCTCCCACCAGTTCCCCAACCTAATCATCTCCTTCCACATGTATGCTAATGGATCATCAATCTAGATGTATCAATGAGGACATAACCTCAATTTTGAAATAATCAATTTGGATCCCATGAATTTTCAACCTTTCATTTGACTTCACATTTAATATAATTGTCATGATAAGAAAAAAATATTTTTGATATTGATCGAGAATCATGAGCATTTATTGATGTTTCGACATATCTTCCCAGATTTCAAGACTACCATAAATTCAACTTACCATATTGAGGTTTAGACTGAACTTGTTGTGGTCTCATCTTAATTGTATTTTATGTAGGTAAAAAAATTGTTCTGTGGCATAGATAATATAAGATTTTGGTTTGACAAAATCAATTATAATTGAAGTGTTCAAAATGGATAAAAAAAAAACTGTGCATGTGTTGGACAGGTGGCCACACACAAAAGGATTAAATTGTGGGGAATATTTCTATCACCACCATCAAAAGCATAGAATATTTTAAATATTAATATTATTAAAAGAAAAAGAAGAACCTCAAGAAAAATGAAAATCAAAGTAATGACTTCTCATCCTAAGAAGGAATGGGTCAATGACTCAATGCCCATTTTAAACATAAGCCCAACTAATAAAAGGGCTTCGAAACCCGCTAACTGTATGACCGTATCTAATCCAGTAATCCTGCCTTGATTGGGCCCGAAGCGAACTCAGCCAAATTTCGAGGCCCACGACGGGCACCTGCTAACCATCTTCGGTGTACAGTCGTCGCCTACTTCCTCCGCCATCTAGGGATGGCAATGGGGCGGGTTTGGGGCGGGTTTGCTTAAACCATCCCCATACCCATCTTCAAATACCCAAACCCATACCCGCCCCATACCCATACGGGGAATGTTTTGAAAACCCATCCCCATACCCGTGGGTTTCGGGTACCCATGGGTAATACCCATACCCGTACATCCAACATATGTATTAGAGTTAAAACTTACAGGAAAAGTTCTAATTATAACTCTAAACGAACATATTATATCATGAAGTCAACAAAACACGGTCATTTTTTTAATATGGTTCAAAGATTATGATCCTAAAATATCCATTAATACATAATATAGAGTATAATATTTTTCAAATTATTATGTTCTAACTCTAATACATCTACTAAATAATAATTAACTAACATAATCTTGTTGACAAGGGGAAAAGTGAAAGAGTGAAATGAGAATTGAGAGAAATGAATTAGATTTTGATTAAGGTGGTCACTCAATTGCATTTCTACTATTTATTTTCTCAATTTATCCTCATCATCATTGATAGATTATAATTTGATGCACATATTTTTGTTATATATGAAGAAATTATTTTAGTGGGGCGGGTATGGGGATGGGTATGGGGCGGGGGAGGCTAAAACCATACCCGCCCCATACCCATCAAACTTTTTGCGGGTTTTACCCATACCCGCCCCATACCCGGTCAAAGCGGGGATTCCCCGCGTTGACTGGGTCGAGGGCGGTCGGATACCCGCGGCCATGGGTTTGATTGCCATCCCTCCGCCATCATTTGGCATTTCGCTTACTCTCCTTCAGCCGCCGTCCGGCGATAAGGTCGTCGTAGTCTCCCGTCTCGTCAAAGGTTGGCCTACTTCTGCCGTTTCTTTCTATTTCCTTTTACTTTTCATCCAGTCCCTGGCCTGAAATTAAAATTTCTCTTTTGAATTGCAAGGACTTTAGGCGTGCTAGTTGTAGAAATTGTCATCTTGCTGAGTAAGATCAAGAGTGCGAATTTGCTTGCCTTTTGCTTGGGAATTTATTGAATTGCCAAGGATTCTTCAGTCAGGTTTTCATTGATTCGTATTTCATGATTAAATTTCAGTAGCCCACTAGAGAGAATATTTGCAAAATGGTGCTGACAGGAGGGGAAACTGCTTCCCCTTCTCTGCTTCTTGGGTTTCATGGGGCTCTTTGTTCTCGTGTTCCAAGTTTTAGTCAAGGGATCAATCTCCATCAACTTTCTAGAAATGGAAGGTTTGTGTTTCGGCAAGAGCAGAAATGGCGTGCTTCTACAATGAGAACTCGGTTGGTGGAGTCGAATGAGGCATTGGCGTTGGAGACGTACGGAGGAGTTTGGGAAGACCCTGATGATGGAAGTGAGAGTGATTATGATGATGGTGAAGACGAAAGTGGAGCAGTGGAAGGTGTTGGTCTTGGAAAAAAAACGAGTCTACTTCTTTATTGATCAAAACGTGAGTTTTACACTGTCCTTATTACACATATATATATTCAGTCCTAGTAAAATAACTAAAACAATCAATATAGTAAACAAACATTACAAATAAGCACATATACTACTGGATCTTTGCAGTCGAGTCCTCCAACAGCCCCCCGCAAGCTGGAGCGTGAATATCCACACGATTCAGCTTGGAAACAAGTCCTGCAAACACAACACTTGCCAAAGACTTCGTGAAAATATCAGCAAGCTGATTTTCGCTGTTGACAAATAGCACCTTTATTAAACCTGTCAAGATACGATCACGAATGATATGGCAATCGATTTCAATGTGTTTAGTACGTTCATGTGCTACTGGATTTTCAGCTAACCGAATGGTTGACTGATTATCACAGTACAAAACAGTAGGAGAAGTGAAAGAAACACCCAAGTCTTGAAAAATATAATGTAACCATTGCACTTCGCATGTTAGATCTGCCATAGCTCGGTATTCGGCTTCAGTGGAAGACCGAGAAACAGTGGATTGTTTCTTTGATCGCCAACTGATGACCGAGTCACCAAGAAACACACAATAACCTGTAACAGATCTCCGAGAATCCGGGCAGCCAGCCCAATCACTATCAGAAAAACCAGTTAGTTTGAGAGATGAGCTACTGGAGAAGAAAAGACCTTGTCCAGGATTGTTTTTAAGATAACGAAGAACCCTATAAGCAGCATTTAGATGAACATCAGTAGGGTTGCTCATGAATTGGGTAAGATGATGCACAGCATACACAATATCTGGACGCGTGTGACACAAGTATAAAAGTCGTCCTACAAGTCTACGATACAGTTCTGGATCAGAAATAGGATTACCATCACTTACTGAAAGCTGACTTCCAGCTATAAGAGGTGTGGCAGCAGGTTTGGCAGCAAGCAGACCTGCATCATTAAGTAAATCCAGGCAGTATTTTCGTTGACAAATGGAGAAACCAGAAGAATTGCGTGCAATTTCAAGTCCTAGGAAGTATTTCAGGGGACCTAAGTCTTTGATTTTAAAGGCATCATCAAGTTGTGATTTAAGTAGATTAAGTGCATCTAAATCATCTCCAGCAAGAATCACATCATCCACATATACTAAGACAGCAAGGAATTTTCCCATATTCGACTTAGTAAATAAAGAATAATCAGCTTTAGATTGTGTATAACCAGCAGTAATGAGAAACTGAGTAATTTTGTGATTCCACTGACGGCTAGCCTGTTTTAGACCATAAAGAGACTTATTGAGTTTGCATACTAGATTCTTAGAAGGCAAGGATAGGCCCGGAGGAGGCTTCATATAGACTTCTTCAACTAAATCACCGTGTAAAAACGCATTATTAACATCTAACTGCTGCACATGCCAATTCTTAATGGAAGCAAGAGCAAGCAAAGTACGTACAGTAGTAAGTTTTGCTACCGGAGAAAAGGTTTCTAAGTAATCTAGGCCTGGGGTTTGAGTATACCCTTTAGCAACCAACCTAGCTTTATATCTTTCTATACTACCATCAGGTTTGAACTTAATACGAAATACCCATTTATTCCCAATGGCACGCTTACCTGGAGGCAGTGGAGTTAGAGTCCAAGTATTGGTATTTGCCAATGCTAGGAGTTCTAAATCCATAGCCTCAACCCACCTTGGATCTTTGGCAGCCTCAGCATAGGTAGAAGGTTCTGTTTCATTGGTTACAGCCATGATAAACCTTCTATAAATGGGAGACAACCTGTCATATGATAAGACACTAGATAGAGGATATTTAGTATTAGTAGTGGGCCGTATATAATCGCTAAGTTTCTTAGGGGGAACACGAATCCTATCTGAACGCCTAAGTGGTATGGTGCTGCTGGGTTGGTGTTCAGATACAGAAGTTGTGGGAGACGGAAGAGAAGTGTCGGCCGGAATGCAAGCAGATGTATTGGAAGAAGGTGGAGAAGAAGATGGAAACAGGGGAGGTATGGGATTGGGAATAGAACATTGCATAGGTTGAACATCAATAAATGGAAGGACTTGGTCTAGGGAAGACAAGGACAGACCACTGTTTGAAAAGGGAAATATATTTTCATGGAATGAAACATCCCTAGATTCTAAGATTTTGTGAGAAACTAAACTGTACAGTTTATATCCTTTTGTGGCAAAGGGAAAACCAAGAAAGACACAAGGTTCGGCCCTAGGTGAGAACTTAGGACGATTGTGAGCTAAGGTCGACGCATAACAAAGACTACCAAAGACTCGTAACAAACTGTAATCGGGTTGTTTGTGGAAAAGAATCTCGTATGGAGATTTATTACTCAAGACTGGAGTGGGCAAACGGTTAATTATATGGACAGCATGCAAAACTGCATGTCCCCAGAAATTAACCGGGAGAGAAGCTTGCATTAGAAGAGCTCTAGCGACAGCAATAATGTGCTGTTGCTTGCGCTCTACACGGCCATTTTGCTGTGAAGTGGCAGTACAGGTGGTTTGGTGGATAATTCCTAAAGAATTGTAAAATGGTGGCATGTGAAACTCAGACCCATTATCAGTCCTAATGGTTTTAACTTGTTTGGAAAACTGAGTTTGTACATAAACACAGAAAGACTGAACAAGAGATCTAGCTTCTGACTTGGAAGTCATCAAGTAACACCAAGTATTTCTAGAGTGATCATCTAGGATAGTAAGAAAATAACGATGGCCATCTATGGTAGGAACACCATATGGCCCCCATATATCAATGTGAACCAAGTCAAACATACCAGCAGCATAAGAAGTACTAGATTGGAAAGGTAAACGACGCTGTTTAGCAACAGGACAAACAGAACAATGCAAGTTTTGACACTTATTACTGTCACTAAGACCCGGAACTGAACTATGGCCAAGACGATAATGCCAACGATCAATCTGTCTAATAGTTGTGTCAAACATAGCAGATAAAGCGATAGGTAGAGATAGAGAAGAGGATTCGCGTCCAGAGTCGACGTGGAGGTAGTACAGCCCGGCAATCTGCTTAGCTATACCAATCCTCTGCCGGGACGGGATATCCTGAATCAAGCATTCAGAATGGGAAAAAATTAACGCACAATTATTCTTCCTAGCTAACTGACTTGCTGACAGTAAGTTGAAAGTGAACGAGGGAATCATTAACACATCATGAACAAGCAGATCATTAGAAAGCTTGACTGACCCCTTATGTGTAACAGTAATACGAGACCCATCAGGTAAGGTAACAAACATTCCATTCAAGGTCCTATACTCAACAAATAAATCTAATGAGCATGCCACATGATCAGTGGCACCACTGTCAATTATCCAAGTTCTATTAGATGCAGCTAACGACTTCGGAGTGACAGAGGCAAGAACACACTTACCTGCCGCAGCATAAGCTGCCAGCTGAGCGGATGGAGCAACAGAAACAGCCATAGAGTTGCTTGTGGAAGGTCCTGGCTGTTCAGCCATAAGACACGAGACTGAGCTTGCTGGAGTAGAAGTAGACGCCTGAGCAAGAAGCTTCTGATATTGATCAGAAGTGAGGACTACTGATCCACCAGACTGTCCAAATCCACCAGTAGGCAGGGACTCCTCAGACTCTTCAGCAACGGCTGCATTCACCTTGCTCTTGCCCTTGTAACCCGGAGGATATCCGTGTTTCTTGAAGCACCGATCCACAGTGTGACCAACGCCGCCACAGTGAGTACAAACATGCCGTTGTTTCGTTCCAGCACCACGACCTAGACCCTGACTCGGTCCAGAAGATCGACCAGCCATAGCAAGCGGAGTTGACGCAGAATGAGCACCAGAAGGATTCAGCTGCCGCTCATGTTGGATCACCATGGAAAAAACACGAGTGATCGGAGGAAGTGGATCCATGAGAGAGATCTGGCTTCGGATCTGAGAGTAAGTGTCATTGAGGCCTTTCAGAAAGCGAATGATCTGGTCAGACTGCTGGTAATCACGAACGACGGTGAGAGCACCGCAAGAACACCTTGGATTACACGAACAGGTAGGAAACGGCCTAATAGTCACCAACTCATCCCAGAGAACGCGAAATCGAGTGAAATACTCACTGACTGTGGCCGTGCCCTGCTTGAAAGCAAAGACCTCATCCTGGAGATCGGAGATCCGAATCAAGCTTGCCTCGCTAAACCGATCATGAAGATCATTCCACACATCAACCGCGGAATCAAACCAGAGAACGCTGTGAGCGATGTCTTGAGCCAAAGAACGATAGATCCAGCCAAGAACCATCACATTACACCTCTCCCAAGCACCGCGAAGAGGATCGGCAGGAGAAGGTGGAGCGACGGCGGGATCGATCAACGACAGCTTGTTCTTCGCCAGAAGTGCGAGACGCATAGACCTCGCCCATGCATAGTAGTTGTTCCCGTTGAAGACGACGGTGACGAGAGCCGACGCTGGATTATCTCCGGGATTCAGAAAATAAGGATGACTAGGATCGAGCAATCCGACGGGAGGGACGAACGAGAAATTCGCCTGAGTCGCCTGAGTCGACTGCGCCGTCGGATTCGCCATTGACGAACAGATGAGAATCGAGAGAGAGAGCGGAAGCTTTGCGAAGGTGGGAGCGGAAGCTTTGCGAAGAGAAATCCCTAGAATGAAAATTGGGAAAGGAAGAGAGAGAATCAAGATTTTGTTGGCTCTGATACCATGTTGGTCTTGAAAAAAAAACGAGTCTACTTCTTTATTGATCAAAACGTGAGTTTTACACTGTCCTTATTACACATATATATATTCAGTCCTAGTAAAATAACTAAAACAATCAATATAGTAAACAAACATTACAAATAAGCACATATACTACTGGATCTTTGCAGTCGAGTCCTCCAACAGAAGGAACCGAGACTGATGATGAGAGTGATTCAAGGGGAGGAGGTGTTGCTCAAATGACTAATTCTCCTACTTCAGAGACTTATGAGGAAGATCTTGCGAAAGGTAGTGCTCTTTATTTTCCTCCATGCCCTAGCTATCTCAGTGACAGAGAATACCATTCCCTCTCCGGTTTTTTGTTTCTGTCCAGTTGATAAACTAGTTGAAGTTCAGCCTGATTTTATCAGTGTGTGTGTTGATTTTTTTCTATCGGCCTCCAAGCATCTTTTGTTGTCGAGGAGCTTAGTCAAAATTGGTATGAAGGTAGGAGGGTGGTAAGGTGTTGAGAGCATTATTTGGGCATCATGCTTGAGCCAAGCATTCCTGGTCTATGCAATTTCAAATAATTTGTCCTCGTGTTCGCTGAATCATATTGTTTGTAGACTAATGTAGAGATGCAGAACTAGTGCTTAACTCACTAGATTTATGTTGCGTGATCAGCGTATGTCCCTTATAGACCTGTTCAGGGTCAATCCATTTTGGCTTAATGCTTGCATTTTGTTGGAGAATTTCCATCTCCCAAGTCTTCTTATGTAGTAGTTGCTGCATTGCCTGTACTGTTTCTATGTGATCTCGAAATTGTACTGAGAAATTTAGTGTACTCTTTTGATTGTCTCAGAGGTTGAACTGCTTTTAACACCAGAAGAAAGACGGATTTTACAAGAAAATGAAACTCCTAATCTTGACAAAATATCAACGGTATGTTATGCAGAACTTTGAGCAAGGTCTTTGTTTGTGAAAACTTATACACTCTTTCTATGCCGAATGCTTAGTTTCTTGATTGTCTATGTCCTGTGACTATCAAATCAGGCGAAGTGGAAGCCACTGCAGACTCTTGCACTGTCAGGCCAGATAAGACACATGGACAAATTGGTCAAACATGGACTCGATATCGACAACATTGATAAGGTAACATGGTTTATTAAATTGGCAAGTAATGTACCACCTCCTTCTTTCCCTTCACTGAACATATATATATATATATATGGTAGCTACTTCGGTGCACTCACTTTTTTGGGTGCACTCAGTGCACCCAACTCTAAAAGCATTCATAATACATCAAATTTTGAACTTTAATCAGTACTCTCAATATAATATGATGATATGACATAGAATCATAACAAATCAATCCATTACCCTAACCCCTTAACCTTCAATTTTGAATCCCAACCCAAAATCCCAAATTGTAAACCTAAACCCTAACCCTAAATCCCTAAATCCTAAATCCTTCGAATTAAAGTAAATTTTGAATGAATTTTTTTCAAATTCATGTGCTTCTTGTTCATAATATCATAAGCAACAATTGATACCGTTTTGACATGAATCGTACGGTCAGAATGACAATTATGAGGCGGGTGCACTGAGTGCACCCGAAAAAATGGGTGCACCGAATACACCACCATATATATATATATATATATATGGTGTGCCTACGCCTAAATAACAGGATGGCAGGACTGCTCTGCATAAGGCTGTGATTGGGAAAAAAGAGGCTGTAATCAGTCATCTCCTCCGAAGAGGCGCCAGCCCACATATTAGAGACAAGGTAAGGATACAGGTTTTCAATTGGTCTTGAATCTTTTTATTACGTCCAAAGTAAAACACAGGCACCTTAGTTGGTGGTTGGTTAATACAGGATGGAGCTAGCCCTCTGCATTACGCTGCCGAAGTTGGTGCCATCCAGACCGTGAAATTGTTGGTCAAGTACAAAGTTGATGTCAACGCCACAGATGAAGTAAGTAACTCGACTTTTGCTTTCGTGTTAGGTGGTTGATCTGTTCATTTGCCAAAAATACTGTTCTTGGTTGTTGCAGGAAGGGTGGACAGCACTGCACATTGCAGTGCAAGGTAGGAACAGAGATATAGCAAAAGTGCTTCTGGTAAATGGCGCGGATAAAACAAGAAGAAACAAGGTTTACTTACCCTTTGCCCCATTGTTTACACCAAGTATAGTATAGTATAGTATAGTAGAGTATAGTAGTAGTAACTAATGACAGTCAATGTTGCGTGTTTTCACTTGTGGTTTCAGAATGGGATGACAGCATTGGATATAGCATTACGATATGGGAGAGACTTCAAGTCTTATGACCTTGCAAAGCTGCTGATGATATTACCAGCTAACAGA